TTCTAATGTACGATTAACTGGATATGATAATTCTCATGAATTTTTTCATTTCCAAAATTCAAATTTTATTAATATTATCCTTTTATTGGAGCATTTAATTGGAAATCTACTCTAGAGCCTATTGACGCTGACTCAGCCACCAAAGTTTTTTATGATGCGTTACATAAATGTGTTCTTGATTTTGTACCCAAAAGTCGCTTTAGTGTTTCTACTTACTCTCTGTGGTTTTCTAAAGACTTAAAACTTATCCTGTTTCAAAATAAACATGCCAACAAAAGTGCCCATGCGTTTTATAAATCAAACACTAATTTTTCTAATTACAAGGAATTTTCTTTTGGCGTGCCAAATTTAAATTTGAGTCAAAAAAATGTTATTGTAAGTACTTTGAAATTGCTGAACTAATCGATTAAAAATAATCCTAAACACTTTTGGAAGTTTGTGAAAAATATCAGGACTTCTAATAGTATTCCTAAAGTATTTTCCTTCAATGACGTAATCTCTTCAAATGAACAGGAAGTAGCTGATCTCTTTTCCTCTTATTTCTCCTCTACCTACTCTTTTAATAAAATAAATCTTGATACCGAACAACTAGGAATTTTACAATATGACTTACCCAGTTCGATCAGTTTAAGTATTTACGATGTTTATCAGGAGCTTTATTACTGAAAGGGAATTGGTTTGTTGGTCCGGATAGATTATGTGGTGAATTGCTCTTCCAGTTGAGGTCCTTTATTGCTTTTTCTCTGTGACTAATTTTTTATAAATCCTTATATGAAGGCATTTATCCGTCCCTGTTTAGATTAATTTCTATTATATCAATTCCCAAAACCGCCAGCTCTGCTTCTATGTCTGATTAGAGACCTATTTCTGTTCAGTCTCACATTTCAAAATTTTTTAAAAATCTCGTCCTTAATGCAATTCGACTTTAGTCCTGGGCACTCAACTACCACTTACAACTTGGTTTTTTGTAATCATGTTTTAAATGCTATAGAGCAAAGGTCCCAGGTTGATGTGCTTTATACGGATTTCAAAAAGGCATTTGATTCTGTTAATCATGAAGTTCTTCTAAAAATACTAAAAATAATTAATTTGGGGAACCTCTTTTAGTATGGTTTGACTCCTATTTAAAAGAAAGATTTCAATGGGTGAAAGTGTTTGGGTCATAATCTAAACTATTTTTAGCTTCCTCTGGGGTACCTCAAGGTGGTCACTTATCACCGATATTATTATCGTTATTTGTAAATAGTATAAAAAATGTATTTTACTAAACTGTAAATTTTTGTGTTTTGCTGATGATATGAAGCTTTTCTTACAAGTTAATTCTATTGATGACTGTATTAAACTACAAAATGATTTAGATAGATTTACAGCGTGGTGCTTAAACATTGTTTTAACCCTGAACTTCGAAAAATACCGTGTTATGACATTCACAAGGTCTCGGTCACCTATTATTTTTTCTTATAGCCTTTACAATGCATATGTTATACGACTAACTGATTTTGTACTTCACCTTGGTTTTAAGTTCAGTAAAACATTGGACCCTTAATATCATATAGAAATGGTGTGCTGTAAAGCGTTTAAAAAGCTCAGCTTTGTATTTAGATTAGCAGCTAATTTAAAACTAAATTCTTCCTTAAGAATTTTGTATTCTTCATTGGTCCGGTCAATTATTGAATATGGTCCTATTGTTTGGTTCCTTATTCTTCATCGGATTCTAATCAAATTGAATGGGTGCAACGAAGATTTTTGAGGCGTGCGGGATTTATTTTGGGTATCCAGCATGACCCTCATGATTATTCTAATGTGGCAAGCAAACTTAATTTGACGTCGTTGGTGGATCGTAAAATTGCTGCAGGTATTAAATTTTTAAAAGAATTGCTGGATGGTATCTTTTGCAGTTAATTAATTTTAAAGTTCCTCAGAGAAATTCTTGTTCCCACTTTTTTTTCTCCATCCGAATTAGTTCTACAAATTACTTACAAAATGAGCCGATTAGAAGACTTTTAAATAGTATCAATATGGATCCACACATGTTATCTTGTTAACCACTTCCTTTTTCTTATTTTGTAATTTTTTTTTATATATTATTTCAAATATTTTATTGAATCTTTATGAATTATATTATACTAATATTATTTTATGAAATTGTTATCTAACCTGATATTGTAAAAAAGACTAAGCCCCTTAAATTTATAAATAAATAAATATTTGATTTATTTTTTTTCTTTTATTATTCAAATGTTTTACTTTATTTATTTTTATAGTAATAGGCCACCAAAAAAATCTAACCTCGCTTGTAGTAGAGAGGCATTGCGTAAACGTGCAGAAAGAAGTTCTCAGTCAGCACAGCAACGTACAGCATTCAATGAATCTTAAAGAATAAGGATAGCAGAAAATCGTGCTCAAGAATCTTATGAACATCGTGATCAACGTATGCGATAAAATATAGCAAGATCAAGAGCAGCGTGTGAACAACAAATTTCTATGTCTAGGGTGAGAGAACGTGAAAAACAGCGAATTCAATTTTTGCTTCCAAATGACATCCTTTAGGGCAACAAAAATTTGTGATCTCACATCCGATGGTAATAATTTCGAATCTACAATTAAAATACAAGGTCAGGTTATCATCAAATTGAGTCATTGATGCCGATGCCTGATAATGAACCGAAGTTTCTGCAAATTTATGGGCAGTTGTGAAGAACGTTTATCAACTCGGTGCCTTTATAATTTTATCGAACGAGCAGATGAGAGAGGAATCATTGGAAAATTTTTTGCAGAATTGAAACCAACTTATTCAGTTGTTCAAATGTGTATCGCCACAATTATTAAACGACAACTGTCAAATTGTAATTAAGGCTGATAGAGTACCATCAGGAGAGCATGCTGGAAGGTTCAATGCACCCACCGTAGACGAAGTAGCAGTTATTATGGCCGGTGATCCAGCTGACAGTCGAGCCATCAAAATTACACGTCGAGACAACGCCATGAGCATAATTTCCGACAGACATTGCCGGTCATTCCGCGCTCTAATTTTGCCGATGAAATTAATGCATGTTTAATGTAATCATTTTTATGTCGAAGTGTCGAAACAGTTCGATTGACCATTAACATGCGAGTCCAATTACAAAACGACACATCAGCACAAATATTTTCCGAACCATTGCTGGATTTTAGCAATGATAGAAAAGGACTGCATCCAAATACACAATGCATTAAATTGCCAGATAACTTCTGCATATTTGTTGAGACAAAACCAGAATTGATCAAACAGGTTTTCCCAGCTATACTGAATAATTACTCAAACTACGATTGGCTTAGTGAGCGTGCAATTTTAGCTACAAAAATGTTGATGTTTATAAAATTAACTTCCAGATACATCAGTTCTTACCGGGTGATCTGATGTGGTTTAAATCGATCGATAGTGTTGTCGATGAAGACGAAGCTGTACATTACCCAACAGAATTTTTAAATTCTCTAGTTATACCAGGAATGCCACCACACAATCTTCGGTTAAAAATTGAATCACCGATTATTCTATTACATAATTTGAATCTAGTCAGACTATGCAATGGTACACGTTTGGTCATCAAAAGAATCATCGGAAATGTTATTGAAGCAACCATTTTGGCAGGAAGATTTAAAGGAGAAATTATTCTGTTGCCACGTATCCCAATGATTCCGTCAGATACCACAATATCATTCAAAGGCTTTATTCCCTGTTCGATTAGCATTCGCAATGACCATTGACATATCTCAAGGCCAGGCAATGTCCATTTGCGGCTTACATTTAGAAAATCCATCTTTCTCCCATGGTCAATTAGATGTTGATGCTCACGTGTTGGTAAACCGTCAAATTTATTCATGGTAGCAAAAGACAGGTTAACTAAAAATATTGTGCACCATATAGCCCTTAATTTAATTTTAATATTAACATAACATAATAGTAACATTATTGTTTGGAGTAAAAATCAACCTTTGATACCTCATTGGTTCATTTTAATTTATATAAATGTAAGCAATATAGAATTTTGATATTACTTATTTATTTTTTTATTGTACTTGAATTTCAGATAAATAAAGTATAAAATTAAAAAAAAAATTTTGGGTCGCTCTTCATTGCTAAGTGTTAAAAATTGTATTCAATGATAATCTCTGATAACTTAGATTCATAAATTTTATAAATATTTGCATAGGTATGTTACATAATTGAAAATAATATTAATCGTATAATAATCAAGCCACAGCGAAACGTAATAAAAAAAAATTAATAAACACAATTTTTTTTAAAAATGTTGGTACATTACGAAAAAAACTATAGTAAGTTTAAAAAATAATAATGCTAGATTTGTCAAATATATCATAATTTCAAAAAAAGATATTATGTCAACATAATTTTCTTATAAAATAGTATAATATCGAGAAATAATAATTGAGTCTTTGGATAAAATTAAACCTTGAAATGATAATTTTAAAATAAAAATTCTGTTAATGTATTTAAAAGAAAATATTATAATGTTTAAAACTTTGAAAAGTTTTTTTTTTCTTTTTTAATAATATTAAAAATTCACGATTAAAAAATAGATAAACTGAAAAACATTTATATAGTGAATTTTAAGATTATTTATTTTTAAAAATATGTTAATTCCTAAAAACCGTAAAAATTTTATTTCTTTGAAAGTAATTTTTAAAGAAATAAATAATGGTATATGTAGATAGTTAATAATAATAGCTGAAGGTCAGTGAGTGTAATATCTTAAAAATATATTACAATCATGAAATGTTTGTCAAAAAAAATAAATATGATTTTTAATTTTCTTTAACTAGAGCTTCCCTAACAATTTGGATCATTTCACCTTTGTACATTCATTCTTAATCAATTTATGTCTTTAGCTATAGACATTGTTACCTAGCAAATTTGTTTATTGATGCATATCAAAGGTACTTTTAAAACATATTTTTACACTTTCCTTTATTTTACATTAATATAAATACCAATTTACTTCTTCAGTAAGTTTTAGCTGATCTTCGGGCTTTATTGGTTCATTTGAATACAAACCTCCAAATTCATCAGTTGGTTTAGATATTTTAACCTGTCGTCTTGAAGCTTCTTTATTAAATGGTTTCCTTTGACCTTGCTGTGACTATTGATATTTTAATAAAATATTTGTTTACATATTTTACAATTCAATTTTTAATAAATATTAATGTACTATATTTACCAATGATAATCTGGTAGATCTTTTGACAGTTTGTTCTAATTTTGGTGGCATATTTCCGTTTAATTTAATTAATTATTATTTATAGTTATTATTATTCTATGTCTGGCTAATATTTATCCTAATATAAGAAAATACAAGTAAAACTAAATTAAACATTTAAGATTTTCAATGATATAGTTTTTAGAATTAATATCATTACTGCAGTGAAAAAAATAAATAAATTTTTCAGTTAATTTTGTTGTCATAGAAATATGTCAAATATTTTGATAAATCAATATTTTAAGTTTAAGTATAGCCTACTTTCAAATGCTTCTCTAAGTATAACCTAAAATTTATATCCATCGTTAGCTACTTTGCGAATGTGAGAATTTCACTCATCATTATTTGTCATTTTCGAAACTAGTTTTAAATCAAATTTGATTTAAATATGCTTAATTAAAGTGTTTACAAAAATAAAAACGGAAAAATATCAACTCGATATTAAATCATTAACGACACGTACACTTGGTTATTAGCATCATGCACATTAATTATCGAATCGCTGTTTCTTTTCTTACCTATTTTGAATAACGTTTACGTAAATTTTTTCTTCTAGAATTTTATTATAGTTCTACTGGTATAAAATGTTGTTACTATACAGGGTGGCCCACCACTCACTGACAACTTAAATAACTTTTGATCCAGTTAATATTTTTAGTTGATTTTTTTTTTAAATAATAGTTATACGTTAGGTCTATAGCTATATCTCAATAATTAATTTTTTTACATTTTATTAAAAATATTAATTATTTTAAAATTTTAAATAAAAAGTAAAAAAAAAATCTAAGATAGCTATTTTGTAGAGTAGAATTTAAGAAAAATTTTAGTAAAAAAATATCTTATTAATATTCAATAGTAAATATTCTGTAGCGTTTTGAAGTTTGTGAAAATTTGAATTTTCATGTATTATTTTACGGTATTAAACATTGAAATACGTATTGAGAAAAGGACAGAAGAAAACGCTATCTTTTCATGATTACTGTGTATACATATGATGATAATGTGTATACATTACAAACTTGGCATTAATACCATGATAAGAAATTAGATAAGGCAATTATTACTTATCACTCTCATTCAAAAGTATATTGAAAAGATAGCGTTTTCTTCTGTCCTTTTCTCAATACGTATTTCAATGTTTAATACCGTAAAATAGTACATGAAAATTCAAATTTTCACAAACTTCAAAACGCTACAGAATATTTACTACTGAATATTAATAAGATATTTTTTTACTAAAATTTTTCTTAAATTCTACTCTACAAAATAGCTATCTTAGATTTTTTTTTTACATTTTATTTAAAATTTAAAAATAATTAATATTTTTAATAAAATGTAAAAAAATTAATTATTGAGATATAGCTATAGACCTAACGTATAACTATTATTTAAAAAAAAAATCAACTAAAAATATTAACTGGATCAAAAGTTATTTAAGTTGTCAGTGAGTGGTGGGCCACCCTGTATAATATGATAATACATTTTAATAAAAATATTAGTTTATTTATTTATATTTTCTAAGAAGGTTTTTTTCCTATATTTTATTAAAAAAATGAATTATTATTTTTAATTGTCAGATCAATGAGCTAACACGTTAATGGTATAAAAAATTTAGAGTCACCAAAAACATGGATTAACTCAAGTGCTGTTCTATTTGGTGGCTTTTGTTCTATAAGAAAATAAACTTCTCCTGAATATATTTATTTTTAATATCATTTTCTAGTAGTTATTAAGTAATCAAGTAATCAGTCGTTCTTTCTCAATTGAATTAATTTAAGAAAAATAATACGATGATACTAATTCAATAATAAAAAGTGTTTAAGAAGTACGATTATAATAATATTCTTATGTAATAAGAGATATTAAAACACAATTTTTTTGAACTTATAAAAAATACAGAAACGAAGGCTGTTAAATTTGTGTTTGGACTCGATTTATATTGAAGGATAATAACCTAGCTATTAAAAAAAAATTTTAACTAATCGATTAATGGGATCACTCAAAATTTACGATTTTCCTAGGATTTTTAATGTGAATAACCAAATTTTTACAAAAATTATCAAAACAGAAAAGTCATTTTTTTATTTTCTTTATTAAAAACAAAAGTATAAATAAAATTATTTATGTACATTTTTTTAATTATTATTATTGTTTTTTTAATGATTAGAATTTTATAAAAATATTAAGTTGATTAATTTACACAAAAGACAAATATTTTTCATATTTGATGGATTATAAACAAATGAATAAGAAATTATACAAAATTGAATTAAAAATTAGTAAAAGTTACTAAACTAAGGTTATATAGTATTAAATTTTTAGACAGTTATTTTTGTGTGTATTCCAGTCATTGACTTGACATTTCCTAAAATCGTCATTAACATTCATTATTTTATTTTGAGTATATCACATTTAAATAATCAATTGTCTGTGACATTATAAAATATATTACCTACTACAATACCATTTAATTTTACATTGAGAACATCGGTTTTTTGCTGGCTGCTGGCAATTAGCACAAATTTTTTCTTGGATTTCAAAATTAGCTATATTTTCATATGTTTTACTTAATCTAAAATTTTAACGAAACCTCAATTAAATACTTATTTAAAACTATTAGGTATTATATTTACGATTTTGCAATGTCATTAATATCGTTTCCAAACAAGTACGATGACTGTACCTTAGCAATTTTTTTCCATTTTTTAGAGTAAGATTCTTGAAGAGTTTTTCTAATCTGAAATTAAGAATGTAAAGTCTATTGAAAAATAAATTTAAATACTTTAAATCTATTACTTCAGCTGTAATTTCTATAAAAATTGGACTTTTATTAATCATTGATGCTTCAGTTAAGGTTAGCCGATATAAACATTCTTTTAAATTTATAAGAGGAGAAATTTGATTTAAAATATTATCGTTCAATAAGCTCTGTAGCTGTAAAATAAGTTAAGTATTTAAAATTAAATACATTTGTAGTTTTAAAAATTTCATCACAAAAAATCTACTTGAACAAGATTTTTTTTTCTAAAATGGGTTATTTCATAATTATTACGCAATTGTTCGGCCATGAAAAATTCGTAAAGACTCATCCATAGGTGGGCTTCTTGTTTTGGTATTAAATTATCATTTGTTTTTTTAATTTTCCATACGTTTTCTATATTATACAATAAACAACTTAATAATAAAACAATTGAATAAATACAATATTATTTTTACAAATGTTATGTTCTTACCTTGAAATATGTATGTTTTTTCATTTTCTGATTTTACCCAAGGTTTATTATTTAACAAATGACAAATAAGCATTGGTACATCATTGTTTTTAGTCATTCTGCTGGCAATTGTTAGTGATAAACTAAAATAATTTGAGTAAGGATCGATTTATAAACATATAATTTTCAATAAATAATGCAAAACTGAATTTAATAACTAAATATAATATAAGAATTACCTTTTTATATGCAATAACATATTAAACATAATACCAATACATTCAATGCCTACTTCAAATTGTATTTTCAAATTTTGTTCTTCGATATCATCTTTAATATCAGTGTCTTTTGATTGAGTTCCAAGGTTAAAGTTGTTTGAATCCCTACAAACATTTAGTTCAGATATGATAGACAAAAAAAATTGTTTTCGTGTATTTAAGTATATTTAAATACTTATAATTTTTTTTTTTTTTTGGAGTTAAGAAATATTTCTAAATATTATTTTAAGTTTTTTTTTATAACATTAAATTAAAAATGAATGTAATAAAATCATTGTGCATTTATATTTAGAAAAAACATGCTTACTAGTGTCCCACCAAGTTTTTACATTTTTAGTAACTTTTAATTCAGTGTTAATTTTTTGTTACTGTTTTTTAATAATTTTTATAGTTTTGGAATACGTTTGTCTATCATAAAAAAATTAAAAGCAATTTTTTTAAATTATTCTATAATTTTGGATAAGCTATTTTTTAGCTATTTTCTTTCAAAATGTTTTGATTGGTCGATAACAACTTTAAAATAAGTACTTGAAGAATTAAAAGCTTTTAAATTCATTAAATTAAATGTAGAAAAGAGCTTTTTTACTAGAAACAAATTATAAAAATTCCAGCATAGTGAGGTCGCAGCTTAGTTGGGAAAAGTAATGATATCTGATAGTGAATAGGTAGTATATTTCAAAACCTTCCTGGTTACATATTTATTAATCTAATAAAAATATGTTCAATATTGACGCTTTTAGTAGATTACAAAATAGTTTAAACTTGAGAGTAATATTCTTTTGAACAAATTTTGTCTATAAAACAGTTAAGTAATTGTTATGTTACTGAAATTGTAAATCGTAAAAATTAGAAGATGAAAACATATCTTTCTATAAACTAAGAAATGGTTTAGTTTATCCTACTAACAAATTATTTTTATGTTCCCTATAAATTAATTGATAATGTATTTAGAATTTGTCATAATAATATAGGACATGTTGATTAGGTAATTAATTAAATTAATAATTCTTATTGGTTCTCTAAAATAAAAAAACAGTAAAAAATTATATTTCTAAATGTTTTAATGCCTATTATTTCACCATATAGTGGTAAAATTGAAGGATTTTTACATTTAATTCCGAAAGCTGGCTTTCCATTTAATACAATTCATGTGGACCTTATGACCCTTTTTGAAAAAACACATATTGTATACTTAATATATAACATAATGTACATTTATGTGACATATTTATCTTTTATAATTACTTTTATAATTAAGTTTTCTATAAATTTGTTTAACTTTCCCCTACTTAGATCTAAGACTAAGGCATTATAATTATTTGTTTTTTTTTTGAAGGTCTATTCAAATTATTTCTGATAGACGTTCTACATTTACCTCTTTAGTATTTTAAAAATTCTTTATAAATAACGGAGTATAATTGATTTATAAGAATCCCTAATGATAAATTTGTTGTAATTGATATACCGGGCTTTTAGCATACTCAAAGATGTTATAAGGGTTTAAGTGTTATAAATATCATGAAAATATAGTTGCATTGTCTTTTTGCATTGACACATTACAAAAAGAATTTAATTTATAATTTATTTAATGTCATGTTTAAATGGTTATGTTTTATTGTTAACTTTAACTGTAATTATTAATATATGTTTTTGTATAAAGTAAGCCTGAATTTTAACTAAAATTTTTTTGATAATTATGTTATATTAGGATATTGTATATTAAATATTGAGGTTTTTTATGTATATATATTTTTATGTTACTTATTAAAGTCGAGGTCGACTTAACGTTAGGATGGAAGAGTTGTATACATTGATTGGTAGCACTGGTCACAATCATTATCACTGTTAGTTTTCCATTGTAATTAGTAATAGGCATTTTCAAATATTTTAAACTATCGATTAACTATTCGAATTGTGTTTATAAAACCGAATAGTTTATTTTTAGCATAGACTATTCGAATAGTTTTAAAAACTATTTGATTGTCTATTCGAATATTTTAAAATAAATATAGTTTAAATAAACTAAAAATTATTTTTAACTTTTTAGTTCGATGTGCTTTAAAAGCGTTTTTTAGTTTTTTTAAACTATATTTATTTTTCAATTTTTAGTTTCGTGTTATGATAGTAGTTACTATCAATATCATGATTGTAACGGGTAATGGGAAATCAGGGTTCGATTCCGGAGAGGGAGTCTGAAAAACGGCTACCACATCCAAGGAAAGCAGCAGACGCGCAATGTGGAGGTAATGACGAAAAATGACGATACGGAAATCAACCCCCGTAATCGGAATGAATACACTACATATCTCTTAATGAGAATAAAGCGTATTAATATATAAGTTTTAATAGTAATTAGAATATACACACGTAAAGCGACTTAAGTTCGTAAACGTATCATGCACGAGGTATAGCTGTGTTTTGTGGGCGGGCGTGGCGTGGGGAACGTTATACACGAGGTATAAACAGCGGCAGCGGCGTCGGCTGTAGGAATATATAAATGAATATTAACATATACGAATATAAATATTAATATATATATATATATTAATATTAGCGGCGGCGGTAGGAATATATAATCTTCGCATAATATCGCGGCACTTTCGCTCGACGACGCGATATCCGGCGTGATCCTCTTGTGTCAAAAGGTTAGCAGCGTTGATGGCGACGGTGCGCGAGTACAGATCAGTTCGTCGACATTGTCACTTTGACAACGGGAAGAAGACTACGGTATCATTTGCGGCGGGACATCGTCGGCCGTGCGGCACTTGCTGGACTTTGCACCGCGGCGTATAACATATTAAATACTCATAGTATGGCGATGGCTGATAAAGGTGACACGAGTCGCGGGGCATCGTATATAACGAAGCGACGCGGGGCCGTGTCAGTCAAAATAAAAATTTATTTAAATATATATATATTAGGGTGTCCCTTATTTTTAAAATGTTGAAAAGTCCTAACTCTTACCCCCCCAAATTTTTGTGTATACATCAGACAACTTTTACCCGTGCCAACGTGAGGTTGAAAATCGACAGAAAGAGGTAGTTTTTTAGTCTTTTGCAATTAACTTGCGAATTTGTGCTCCCACAAAAAAAAATCATTGAAGCTAAATTGTAGATCTAATTGTTTAGCATAATATATATTCCTACAATTTTTCTTCTAAATCTATTATTTTTCCATAAAAATTATAAAAAATGTATTATTTGTTGATATTACCGAAATTGGGATATTTACAAATATTTTGTCTTGTCTGGCGAGCATTTTATGATAAAGCTTAATGTTTCATACAAAAATTGTTTAAAATGAAGTTTTCTATACAAATGGTAATTAACTTATTTTTTATTTGACAGTTCGTTTCATTGTTACAGATAAAATAGTTCTAAAATATTGTGATTACTAAATACGAGCTTCATGATAGCATAATTTATCAGCTGATATCGTTGCTCATTATTACTACAACAATTACTATTACTACGTCCATGTAAAATAAAAATTCTATTGTGATCGTTGTGTTGTCTTAACTTATTGTTTATATTTTTAATTTATAAATAGAGTGGAAATTGTAACTGAGATATAACGAACTCTAACAAAGGATAACACTTCAGTCGCTTGCATCGTGTATTCGATTGAATTGTTAGTTAGCGTGATTTTAATTTCTTAAAAAATATAATAATGTCCAAAACATTACGAAGTGATGATAAAATATTTTTAATAGGATCTATTTCTTCTCAAATTTTGGGATCAAAGCTTCCGTCCATCCACCAAGTATGTTAGTTTTTTTTTTAATATGAGAACTGTGAACTTAAATATTAGAGAAAGTGCAGCATTAGCTATTCGGGAGTGTAATATTTTTTAGGAAAAAGCCCGTATTCCTACTTGTGCAGTTCAAAGTTGTTAAAATTTTACGAAGAATGGCGTACCTTACAAAAAAATTCGCAAAAAGTTGGTGAAATTTTTAGAATAAAAGAAAACGAGTTTAATAATAATCTTAATAATTTATTTGATATTGCACATGACAATGCATTAGGTATAATTAAAATAGATAACGATAAACAGTTTTTAATTAACCAAAGACTTCCTGGTCAAGTGGGTTGCTTAGGTGGAATTGACCAAAACTTACAAAAAAAAGAAGATACTTCTAAAAAGCGATAAGAAAGAGAAGCAGAAAGACTTGCATTAAGTACTAAGCAATTTTCGAATTTTCAGGACCCTCTACTTCTTCCTCTTTACTTATAACACCTGATTTACCGGAAAATATAGTTTTTCCATCATCGTCTGATGACGAGAAGTCGTGTTTTAATGCAGAAAAAGAAATAAAAAGGGGGTACAAAAACTTAATTTCACCAAAACTTGTGGCTGCATTAGATAGGTGTAAATTAAGTGCACGAGATTCTATTTAAGTACTTCAAGCAACTGCTGAACTGACGTCACAACGTCGATACTCTGGTCATAAATAAGTCTTCTATACACCAATGTCGTAATGCGTTACGTACAGAACGGGCTAATTTCATAAAAAAAATTTTTCAAAATAAACTCCCTTCACATATTACTGTACATTGGGATGGAAAGATTCTGTCGGCTTTAAATTCAAGAGACTCGGGTGTCGATAGACTACCAATTATTATTACCGGAAAAAATATAGAAATGTTAATTGGTATTCCACAATTAAAAAATTCAACGGGATATGATCAAGCTAACGCTGTTTATAGTGCGTTACAAGATTGGGGCTTGTTGAATGTGGTCGAAGCTCTGTGTTGCAATACAAACGTATCTAATACTGGGCGTTTGAAGGGCGCATGCGTATTATTAGAGCAAAAATTAGAAAAAGATATATTATACCTACCATGTCGCCACCATATTTATGAGTTGGGTTTACGTGGTGTTTTTTAAACAAGGCTACCTCAAGTAACCTCCACCCCAGATATTCCTATATTTAAAATTATTTAAAATTTTTTAAGAATTGGGAGAAATTAAAATTTTCTAATATTGTAACTGGAATAGAAGACGTGGAGTGTTGTTCAGCACTCGAAAACGTCTGAAATAATATTCTACAGTTTTCGCGAGATATGTTAGAAAACAAACATTACAAAGACACGATTACAAAGAGT